TTTTGAGTGAGTCGCATATGTCCAGTCAAAGAAACAACAACGTAATTCTCTTTTTTTTCTGATTCTACTTTTATTATGAAAGATCTGTGTGAAAGCTTGTGACACTTCTGTCAGGCCCCATCCACACTACTGCGTTTTAGTTTAGAAACGGATAATTAAAACGAATACGATCTCCGTCCACACCAGCGTTTTAGCTGCGTATTAGAATTGGTCTCCGTCCACATTAAAACGACTGAAAACGCGGATCACGTGACCTTTCACCAACACTGGGCATGCGCGCGCCGGTGTAAACACAACTTCATTGATAAAATTATCCCACCATGCTCTGGGTTAACCCCAAACCGACGCTCCATGTACGGTCAACGCCGCCGCTGCACACGGGAATTGTCACAGATCGCTGGAATAATAGCTTGACTCCGGCGCATGTAGGCCGTTATAGCGTTGTAAAATGCAGAATTTACTTGTACAACAGCGGCTAGCAAAGCAATACGCCATGACTGATGACACCCAATCATAGAGCCGAGCGTGAGCCTCTACTACGTCATCGTTTCTAAAGTTCTCCGTTTTGTCCCGTCTACACTAAAACGCCCTCCGGAGATTCAAAACGAAAAACGGGTCTGCAGCGTTTCTAAACTTCTCCGTTTTGGGTCTCCGTTTTTGCCGTTTTAGTGTGGACGGGAGGTGCAAACGTAGCAAAAGGTCTCCGTTTTTAAACGAAAACGCATTAGTGTGGACGGGGCCTCAGATGCGGAGAAAAGCGCGTTGTCCTGAATCAGTGGCCGGAGACACACTGGCTGCGTGGCGTGAGCGTCTCAGCTGCGTGGCGTGTCCGTTTTTATTTCGGCTCCCATGTTAACAGGTTAGAGCTTGCACACTGCCTGCGTGACACGCGCGTCTCAGGCGCGGCATGAGCCGCGCGGAAAACGCGTGCATGCTAGAAATAGAACCGACGCCTATTTTTCACGCGACACGCAAGCGTGTTGGAAGCGTTTGCAGGCAAAATAGTATAGGAAAAGATGTTTATATATCATTTTGTACACGATTACATATTAATAAATTACATTTTGATGTTTGAAAATCTAGGTTTTGACCTAGTCCTGGTGTCCACTACCGAGGTCATAGCATATGAATAAAATATAGCCTATATATATTTTCATTTGTTTATAATGCTCTTAACAATGTGATTACATGATTTTTTTTTTTTTTAAATTCTTTGAAAAAAACTTTCTGGGCCTCAGGAGGATAAGTTAGGATAGGCTACAATAACATCGTAGTGTGTCTTCTGAGTGACGGTCCAACATCGGGTAGGCTAAATATAGGCTCTTTAAAGCTACACAAAATTTGTAAATGTTATTGAAATAAACAGACAGCCGCATGTTTCCCTATTTTTCGGATTTTGGAAGATGCGTGATAAAAGTTGAAATTGTTGTCGTAAAGGCAAGAGCAACAGTAATCCAAATGTAGACTGGTCTGTCGGCGCCCTCCCTCTATGTCACATATGGCGAATATGTATTCGTGTACGCCACGCAGCGCCGCGTCAGACACGTTTCTGGTGTGCAAAGACACAGAAAACGCGACGCAGCCGCCACGCAGCTGACACGCAACAGAAACGCCACGCTCACGCCACGCAGCCAGTGTGTCTCCGGCCTAACTGTGGTAAGATGAGATGTTGTAAGGTCAACAAATGTCAGTAAAACTAACTTTCCTGTCCTGACAGCCGTTGTACTGTACTTGCACATCACGCGCAATGTGGCGTGCTGTAGCAGTAATTCTGTCGTCAATTAGCTAACTCATGAAATAATCAAAAAGGCGATCAAATCTGTGTCAAAACTGCATGCATGCATGTATTTGTTATAGATGCGTCACATATGTCTCGACTAAAATATTCTGCCGTGTGAAATCACAATTTAAGGCACAAACTGACAGGCTATGTGATTTTTTTTAATGTTCAAATAAATGTGAGCACTGTGCATTTGTAAGCTACTAGAAGATAGGCGGTAATTTTGCGTTAATTTGTAAAGGCAAAACTAAAAATTATCATTTTTAAATACATAAAATAACTAATTTTACATTCTGGTATTTATGTGCTGTTTACTTCCGCCTTGTTCACATTCTTGGACATAGAGATTCAAAAGAGATGTTTTCCCCCCTTTTTAATTTAGGTATGATAGAACGGATTAGATTCTTTATTTTGACAACTAATATAGAAAGTTGAAGAGTTAATTAATTATATAAAATTCAATGAAGGTTAAATAATCTTCGAACTACAGTAGTTATCTGCATGTCTCATCCATGAAGGTGCAACAATGTTGGGGGTTTTGAGAACCAGAACCAAGCTAACTGAGCAAGTTGAACTTTAGCTATAGTGTGTGTACTCTTTATTAATATGCCTGGAGGTAGCAAGTAGCTAATAATAATAAAAAAAAGATCAAATTCACTCAGTATTCCATGATTCCTTCACTACTATCTCAATTACAATTAAGTACAAATGAACTGTATTCAGTTGTGTAGGAAGGCACTAAAACAGTCCAATACATTATTTAAACTAATTTTTATGTTAAAATAATTAAGATTTATATGCCACCCCAGACTGTTTGCTGGCCCTTGCCTGGCCACCCCTATGAAAAAATCCTGGCTCCGCCACTGGCCATACATGCAGAACATTTTGTCCATCTTGAGCCAAGGTCTATGAGTTATGAGCAATTTAGTACTTTTTGTTGCTGTAGCGCCATCTACCATCTGGCCAGGATTCAAGTCTCTTGCACTTACGGTTTGGTCTGCACGATAAGTTTTACAAATCCTTACAATTACAATAGGGTTTCAGCACTTTGTGCTTGAACCCCTAATAAGAATGTTCTAAATAAAAGAGAATTGTTTTGGCTCATTTGCTTCTTCACATCGACACTTTAGTCATTGAAGTGTTGCAATGAGACATCTTACTGATATTAAACACTTTTATGTTATCTGAGATTTAGTTCATGAGGAGATCAGGAGACAGGAACTCAAGAGTTTGACCAATGTGAAACTCCACATAGGTCATCACAATCACACGTTTAACCCACACACATGTTCAGCATTATAAAAAAGGCACCTTCCTCATCTCTTAGTCTGAAGAGTCATTGTCTTCTGGCTGAGAGCGAAATACTTTTCTAATCTTCTCTTGATGTTGCTCTTGAAAAATAACAAAAAGCTAATTCAGAATCAGACACAAAAAAGGACAACAGTACTTTCAGGTAAGTTTGGGGTTGAAGTAAATGATCATTATAACACTTCTATCAGTGTAATAATAATCACAGGTTTAAGTGATTGTTTAAAAAAACTTTTGCTATCTGTCAAAAAGAAATTAAACCTGTATTATGTAAGAAGTTGGGCTTAATTGTGCCAATCTATGTACATATTCTTGTCCATTATATTTCGAGTCATATTTATTTGTGAGATGCTGTGGTGTTTCTGGATGTGTCACGACCAGAGCCGGACAGTAACGGAGTACATTTACTTGAGTACAGTACTTAAGTACAATTTTGAGGGATCTGTACTTTACTCGAGTATCATTTTTGGGGAGTACTCATGACTTTACTCAAGTACATTTGAGAGGCAAATATTGTACTCTTTACTCCACTACATTTCTATCCATAACCGTGAGTACCAGAGTAAAAAAAAAAAAAAGGAAAAAAAAAATCTCGGAAACCCTCAATTTGTTGTTTCCCTCTCAAACGTGACTGGATTGTGCAGGCGCCACTGATTGGGACAGCCTATCAGCAATCACCTTCAGCTTTCCGACAAAGTCAACTCCATGGTCAGATTTTATATTACACATTAATGTAAGCTAAGCATTTACTGTGATGTTCTTGAGTATGCGGTGTGTTTAACACAGTCAGGTTCAAATGTGGCAGTGGCGTAGCCACGAGGGATTTCTGATTGCTTAAAAAAAAAAAAAAACTTACGGAGGCAAAACAGAAAACAGACGACAGACTGCTCTCTGCTTATGTCATCCGTATGAAATGTGCATTTCTCTCTGGCGCGTTCACTAGGCTACTGAAGATTGCGAGTCGGCATCGTCAACTTCATCTTAGCCGACACTGACAAAGAAAACTCTTGTTTATTAACAAGTGTTTATTAATAAACAATTAAAATATCTCCTTGCTATATTTTACATATTCATAATCATTCCTTTTGCCGGTTCTTTGTGAGAGCTTTTAGGTGCTTTATTGGCAGCGCCACCCTTACATGTGATGTGTGTGTTGTCCCCGCATTTAAAGATGGGACCCCCCAAAAATTAAATTAAATTAAATAAAGCAACATGGTAAAAAGATGAAAATGACTTGATTTTACTTTCAATTCCTTTTACATTCTCCAAGGTATTAACATTAACATTTTTCATAACTCCATGTAGGACGTTTCTGTGCATAAATGTAAGCACTGTGGCAGTAGATTAGTAATGCAATATTTAGAAAATCTACTCTTGTACTCTTGATACTCAAGTACTTTTAAAAACAAGTACTTTAGTACTTTTACTTAAGTAGACATCTGACTGTAGTACTTTTACTTGTACTTGAGTAAAATTTAGCAAGGGGTATCTGTACTTTTACTCAAGTAACAAAGCTCTGTACTCTGTCCGCCTCTGGTCACGACACACACACAGGAAAAGTTAAGATCCAAGAGCAGTTTTATTGGGAAATCCGTACTCACAATCCAGCCAGGCAAACGGTCAAAATCCAGTAAATCAATCCAAAAACACAAGACATGAACAAGAAACAGGCAGCAACAGGAACGGAAGTGTGGGGACATTAGACAAGGACTCCGTAACAGACACTGAAACTAACAGGGTATATATACACAAGTGCTAAACGAGGTGATGAGAAACAGCTGAACACAATGAACACACAGTGACAGACAGGATCATGGGAAATGTAGTAACAGAGTGTGGGACACCATGCGGGAAGAGGACCTCTAGTGGTTACCCAGGAAACACAAACCAGACACTGTGACAGGATGTCTTTCAGCATCTGTTCTTCACTAGATCTACTAGATCATCTGAGGGATTTGACTGAATCAAGATGCTGCTGATCATTGAAGCTCTTCTTCTCATTTTAGCTGCTCTAGGACAGGTAAGCTTGTGTTCTAGCATGAATATTACAGACATGAATACTGATGATGTGATCATTATGATTTCTGTTGCTGCAGGATCACAGCGCTGCTGCTGTTGAAGGACAGATATATCAATTGGATATGGCACCGAATTCTGTTGATGATCAATATGACGGTTGTAAAGATGAAATGGCAAAACTGGTGAAGACAGAACTTCTAAAGAATGAACTCAAAAAATCACCTGATTTTAAAACGGCTTGGGAAAAAGGGGAAAAGTTTGCCAAGAGCCAAAATGATGATTTGACAAAGAATCATTCAATCGCCATTTATGTGTACAGTGATGCTCTTGTATATAAGCCCTTCAATAATGACACTCGTCATGATAAAAACCAGTACAAACACATGAAATACAAATGGTATTCACTTCACTTTCTGTTAACAAATGCAATACAGATTCTGAAGAAAACACAAAATCAATGCTATACTACTTATCGGGGCACAAATTTATTTTATAAGAATGTTCTGAACAAAGAGGTTCGATTCGGCTCATTTGCATCCTCCTCTCTTGATCGTAAAGTAGCACGAGGTTTTGGAAATGTATCTTGTTTTGAAATCAACACTTGTAAAGGTGCTAATGTGACAGAATATTCTAAGCTTCCTCATGAGAAAGAGGTGCTGATTCCTCCATATGAGAAGTTTAAAGTCACTGCTGTCAAGACAAGAGGTGAGCAGAAAGATCCCTGGTGTGAAACTGTGTTCTATTTGAATAGCACTGAAACAAGAAGTGACCTGAACTGTGCTCTATTCAAGAAACCATCCAAGACCAAAACAAAGTCTTATGTGCTGAACAACGTGCTTTGAATATACACTTGTCTAACATTTGTCTCTCTTGTTTTAGTTCAATAGTTATTGGTCTGAAAACACAATTTGTTTAATTGCAACAAAATGAAATAAAGTTATTTTTAAGAGACCCAATTCAGTGGCCTCAAAGTGATTTTGTGTCTCTAATTCATTTCTCCATTAATACTTGCATCTTTTTGCATCACATTACTGAACATTTGTAGTGCTTTATTTTATATAACTGTCAGCAATAGCATATTGACTGAATGAGTTTCTAAGTGGAATGTAGCAATATTCAATATTTTCAAAATCCTGCAGTGCTGTGATTCTCTGAAAGATCGTATGTCCTTATACAGAAAATGTTTTGACAGGATCATATAGACTCACACAGACATCAAGAATCAGCATATGAATCACAACAATGGTGACAATGTAAAAAGATTCAGATCAACTCGTCACAAAACAAGCTACTAAGGTCACAAAAAAAGCTTTGATTGTTGATTGAAAAATTGTGATTTTAATCATACTCTATATAAAATTAATTTCTCTATATATATATATTACATAACCTCAGCTAATATATTCAGAGATTTAACTCAAAGTCATATCAGTGAATTAGTCAAGTCAAGTCATCTTCATTTATTTAGCGCTTTTAACACCGTAGATTGTTCCAACGCTGCTTTACAGTGATAATAGGAAATTAAAGTAACAGATTGTTTTGGCTTTATGGCAGCTCTAGAATAAAGTTATTTTCCAGTTAAAGTTAGTTTTGACTAATATTAGCGTAGATGCCATTCTTCTTATGATGTAACGAGCACAGGATTTATGGGAAGTGTTCCCGGTTCCGGCTGATCTAAACTATACAGCCTAACATTGAATTATAGAAGTTTATAATGTGTTATGTGTATGCTAGGTCAAAGAGATGTGTTTTTAGTCTAGCTTTGAACTGACAGAGTGTGTCTGCTTCCTGGACAATGTTAGGAAGACTGTTCCAGAGTTTTGGTGCTAAATAGGAAAAGGATCTACCGCCAGCAGTCGATTTTGATATTCTAGGTGTTATCAACTGGCCAATTTTTTTTAATTTTGGCCGGCTGCTATGCTTTTGAAGTAAGGGATCGAATATTCAAGATTCAAAGGATTTATTTGTCACATACTCATACAAGATGCAGTGAAATGTTTTTGTGACATGTACTGTACTTCTGTGCTCAATTGTAATAAAAAAGAAACAAAAATAAAAGAATAAAATAGAATACAATAATTACAAAACTATATTATAAGAATATTATAGAAGTTAAACCTAGATCAACAGCCAGCTGTACAAATGTTAAAGTTCAATGACTTGGATAAAAATGTTAAAAGTGTAATAAAAGTTAAAAGTGTTTAGAGTGCAGAATTCAGGGCTCTGATTGCAGCAGGGAAAAAATTGTTCCTCATCCTCTCTGTGCGTGTTTTATGACCGTGCAGGCGTCTGCCTGACCTGAGGATTACAGTTTATTGCAAGGGTGATGGGGATCCTTGATAATCATTCTGGCCCTGTTTGTACAGCGTGTGATGTATAAGTCATGCAGACTTATACATCACAAGCTGCAACTCAAGCTTTATCATTATTCAGCAACCCAAGGTTTATCATTTGCTCATTTGTATTATATCCCTTAGATGGGTTTGGAAGTTTTTTGTATGTCCTAATTCGGGGAACAGACACAGTCTCTATGTGATGATATCTAGGTGAAAGAGTCTCTATGTGATGGGATTTATCTGACCTCAGTGACGTGAGATAGCAGATGGTCAGTTTAGCCAGTCTGTCTGCTTCCTGACCTGAGCCCCAGATTGTCATGTTTGAGCTCTAAGACTATGTGCCATATTACTAGAGGAGCAGCACTATCCCAGGAGGGATGAATACCATCTCTTTTCAACAGGTCAAGTCTGCCCCAAAAACTTTTCCAATTGTCTATGAATTCTATTGTAAGACTGGAAGAACTGGTTGAAGGAATCAACCTCACTACAGATCTATAAGACAAAGGACCTTGCTTGCAAATTAACATCTGAACACCTCTCACACACACTCCCGCATCCCCCACTCTTGCAGAGATCGCCCACACTCACACAAGAATTTATATGGTTTTAATTTGAACAACTATCATATAGTTTTATATATGTCTTTAGTTTGAAATGTCTCAGTGCGAATGGTACAAGTGTTCTATTTCCAAATAAGTAAAACAAAAGGTAATAAGGTTTTTAAGAGTTTAGGAATAACTGGCACACAAAGGAATGTGGTTTCTAGGCACTCATCCCAAAGGTGTAAATTCATGAATGCTAATTTCCACTGTTATTAGCAGATGGTCAAACATCTACCCCCAGTAAGTATGGAGGGGGAATACAGTAAATTTCCACTAAACTCATGTTTTACATATCAAATAAGGTCTGGCTATATAAGGAAAATGCAACGAGAGCTCAGGGCTGCTTTTTCTGTATCAGATCAGCCCCTGAATGCTGTGTCGTTGAGACTCAGCATTCATGTCTCATAATGTCGGGTAAAGGATTTTCCTCTTTGTTCTAGAACATTTGATGGTTTGCATTGATTATCTTTCAATTGATTATGGAATTGTAATAATAGATTTACCTGACATAATAAATTGTTATATTTGATTATTCTAACAGACTTTGACTTTATTTTCATTGGAGTTAAAAGGAATAGTCAAACATTAACGTATATTTAATGATGCACAGATATCATTGAAAAACCATTTCATTTTATGGAGTCAGATGAAACGAGTTAATACATAAGATAAAATGTATTGCATTTAATTAAAAATCCCTTTGCCATGGGAAGAGACGGAACACGCGTGAGACCTTCACCGCTAATCGAGTACCCCCATTGGATCGAATTAGATGGCCTTACACTATATTATTAGACCATATGGAATTAAGCCACTATATGATGATTACAGCATCATCAATACGTGACCAACATCATCTCCAGCATTTATTGCCATAACTAATGTATATAATAACACAGTTAAAGCAGCCAAGGACAAACTAATGTTAAAAATGTAAGGGTCATGAGCCCAACTAAAGCAAACACTGATCTCCATCATGGTGACATCAAATTTATGTCATTTCTAATATAAAGTTTTTTTTCAATTTATTCAAATTAGAATATTTTACTTTAATTTTATGTTTTTTGTTTGGCAGCCATAGCTGCCAGTCATTTGACCATTTTTTACGATTGCATCTTTCTTACTGTAATCACGTGTATATGTGATGATTATTTTGGCAGAGTTCTGAAAAAAAAACCACAATAAACACACACATCCCAAAGCGGAGGCTTTGTACAGTAGACCTAGTAGCCAGTGTCACTGCACTGAGTTTTGCTGTATGAGCTTGTATGATTGCATATGAATTTACAGGGAGAACAATTAGACACACATCAACATGTTTATATAGATGCTAAAAAAAACTTTACACATGTGTGTGTGTATACACACACACACACAGTATATCTAATTGTTATCATATTCAATCTTACGGGTTGATTAATACACATCTTGTTTAGATTTCTCGATTGTAGATTTTCATCAACGATTTCATGTGAATTCACCATTGCGTAAAGTTATCATGAATTCTCAAGAAATCAGGTTGAAAAGTTCATCTTAGAACAATGAGAACTCAAAGTGTGAAACCACATGAGAGACAGCGATTATTTCTCAAAACACACATTATCAGCGATATAAAGAAGACACCTTCCTCATAAGTTCTTCTGAAGAGTCGTTGTCGTCTGTGAGCGAATGACTTTTCTGATCTTCTCTTCTTGTCGTTGCTCCTGAACTCCTGTAAAATAACGAAAAGAAAACACAGAATCTCAAAAAGAGGCAACAGTATTTTCAGGTAAGTTTGAAAGTTGAAACTGCTAATCAGCAAAAAATGCAGTTGCACAGATTTAAAATGTGTTTTGTAAGAAATTGTTGAACAGTTTAATTGTGCACATATTGTCATCGCAGTGAATTTGTGAGACGCTGTTGTGTTTCTGGTTCTTCACTAGATCTACCTGATCATCTGAGGGATTTGACTGAAACAAGATGCTGCTGACCATTGAAGCTCTTCTTCTCATTTTAGCTGCTCTAGGACAGGTAAGCTTGTGTTCTAGTATGAATATTACAGACATGAATATACTGATGATGTGATCATTATGATTTCTGTTTCTGCAGGATCACAGCGCTGCTGCCGGACAGATATTTCCATTGGATATGGCACCGAATTCTGTCGATGACTATTATTCCGGCTGTAGCGGGAAAATGGCACATCTGGTGAAGACGGAATATCTGAAGAAGGAAATCTACAACTCAGCTAAATTTAAATATTATTGGCAAAATAGTGCAAATATTGTCAAGTTTCCAAAAGATCATTTAACAAGGAATCAGTTAATCGCCATTCACGTGTACACTGGTAAATACATATATAGTCAATTTAATGAAGAAACTCGTTACGGTAAAAACCATTACAAACACAAGACATTCAAATGGTATTCACTTTACTTTCTGTTAACAGAAGCAATACAGATTCTGAAGAAAACACAGAATAAATGCTATTATACTTATCGTGGTAATAAAGTTGAATTTAATAAGAACATTCTGAACAAAGAGGTTCGATTCGGCTCATTTACATCCTCATCTCTTGATCGCAAAGTAACTCAAGGTTTTGGAAGTACATCTTGTTTTGAAATCTACACCTGTGAAAGTGCTGAGCTGACAAAGTACTCTCAGTATCCTTACATTAAAGAGGTGCTGATTCCTCCATATGAGACGTTTAAAGTCACTGCTGTCAGAACAAAAAAATATAATAAAAATCTCTGGTGTGACACTGTGTACACTTTGAAAAGCACTGGAAAAGTAAGTTACCAGAACTGTGCTCTATTCAAGAAACATTAAAAAACATACAATGTTGAAATTGAATTGCTCTGAATTTACAGGATTTAATCATGTACATCAGTTCCCCACAAATCGATATACAACATTTTTTTTTCTT